TTCCTGAGAAACTATCTTGTAGATAACAATATGTAAAACAATAACCATTGATAATTTCCTACCACTTTGTCTGTAATTTGGTAAGCCCCCCTATTATTATCCTTCTTTTACTCTTTAAAATAAAAAGTCAAAAAATAAAGAACTCAAATTATTATTTGCAAATGACATGATACTCTACATAGAAAAGAATCGCATTCCATCAAAAAAACTAGAATTACCAATTTCAAGCGATGTAGCAGGATACAAAATCATGAAGAAAATACCTTTTGTGTATACAATAATGAAAATGAGAAGGAAATTATCAAGAAAAATGGAATTCCAGGGTATTAACCTAACCAAGGAAGTGAAAGACCTCAACAAAAAAACTATAGTACTCTGAAAAAGGACACTGAAGAAGATACTGGAAAATAGGAGCTGGATGTGGTGGCACATGCCTGTAATCCCAGCACTTGGGAGGCTGAGGTAGGAGGATCTTTTCGAGTTGGAGACCAGCCTGAGTGAGCTCAAGGCCAGCCTGAACTGCATAGCAAGACCCTGCCTCAAAAAGACCAAAAAAAAAACAAAAAAAAAAAACGAAAAAAGAAAACCACCTAGTTAGAAAGGTGGGTGAAGGGCACACAACTGTAATCCCAGCTCCTTGGGTAGCCAAAGCAGGAGCATCACAAGTGTGAGATCAGCCTGAGATCAGCTTTAAGGAGTTCTCGTCTCAAAATAAATGAAAATGGCAAAGGGCAAAAAGAGACTTGCTTGGGACCTCATCCATTTTGTGAAGGTTGAGAATGTGGTAAAGTGAGGAACCTTTGGAACAGAACCTGCAGGGAATGGGAAAGTGGAGAGGACACAGTGTTGGAGCCCCAAGTTGGAACCAAGAAGCTGTGTTGCTCACCAGAGTGTTCAGTGGCCTGGGTGAAGCAAACATGCAGTGGTGAAGTCCTCGCCTAGCATGCATAAGCCCTGGGTCCAATAGTCAGTAGAGTCAAAACAAAAACAAGCAGGGTAGAAATTATTTGCCACTGACATTCTACACTAGTGGTTTCTAGAATCTATGACGAGTGTACAGCAGCAGGTAGTTTGTATCATTGAAAGCTGTTATTTTCTACTAATGTATGAGTTTTTTTCTAAACAAAAACCTCAGTATTCAGGTTTTGGGAGGGGGCGGCTACCAGCAATTAAACTCAGGACCTCATGCTTGCCAGGCAGGGGCTGTGCCACTGAGCTAACATTCCAGCCTCCCTCAGGTTTAACTGCAGTGTTGGCACTTGCAATGAGTGAGTTTTGGACTGCAGCTTGGGCATATGGTCTCTGAAAGGTTCACCATCACCACTCTAAGCCCACTGAGCTCTTACCAAGTTATGTGCATATGACAACATACAGGTCATTTCATCTCTACTGAAGATGCTTATCATGTGTGTGTGCCATACAGGAAACTGAACCCAGGGCCTTTGTACTGAGCTACATTCCCATCTCTTTTATTTTTAAACCTTTCATTTTCCCTAGCTCAATTGTTTTCAGCCTTACCTCCACATTAAAACTTTCTAGAGCCAGGCGTGATGGTACAGGCCTGTAATTCTAGCACTCAGAAAGCTGAGGTAAGATTGCCATTAAGTTTTAAACTGAAGCCGGGTGTGGTGGCGCACACCTGTAATCCCAGCACTAGGAAGGCTGAGGCAGGAGGATCATTGGGAGTTCTAGACCAGCCTGGGCTACAAAGTGAGCTCAAGGTCAGCCTGAATTGCAGTGAGAGCCTGTCTCAAAAAAAAAAAAAAAATCTGAGAATTGAAAAGAATCCTCATGGCCAAGCCCCATTCAGAATGTCTGCCAACAGAACCTGGCCTTGGTTGTTATGAAAGCTCCCCAGTCATTCTCTGTGTGACAAGGCAAAGCTCTTCATAACAGCCTTCAGCATAACTAAGCAACTCTTGGAGACAGACAATCTATTTGCATAAAGGAATGTGCAGGAGTCTTGGGTGCCAAGGGCAGATTCTCCTGCTCATAGGGGGGTGCTTCTGAAAAGTGAATGGTTTGTGGGGGCTTATAGCTGACCCTCTGTTAGGAGGTGAGTCTGGTTAAAGAGGCGGGTCCCTGGGGTCCCGGTCTGGATGAGTTCATCTCTGCCCAGCTCCTCCCCTGACTCTGCTCCCACCGTGAGGTGAACAGCTTTTCCTCCACCTGTCCCCGGTGCCAGGTCATAATGCCTCGGAGCCAGGCAACTATGACTAAAAGTGAGCCAAAATAAACCCTTCCTTCTTTAAATTGTGGGCGTGGGGTATTGTGTCTCAGTGACATGAACGTGACAAAAAGTCTGTGTCTGTGGAGGACTTTATTGAAGACAGGAACAGGAGACTTTAATTACATCATAGAAACACAAAGGATACATTAGCTAAACAAACATATCTACGCAATATTTCTAGGTTTTCAAGTTTTTAGCACTCTTCAAACACTTCCTGTTTTCTTTTTTTTTTTTTTTGGTACCAGGAATTAAACTCAGGACCTTGCACTTGCCAGGCAGGCATCTGTGGTGCTGAGCAATGTCCCCGGCCCTCCTGTTTTCTATAGACAGTCCTCCCTTAAGGACCAGTTAATGGTAGGGTACTCTGACCAGGCCCATAAAAGAACTGGTCACTAAACAAGGAACTGTACACGGTCCATCCGTTACAATACTCAGAAGAAACGGTCAAAGGAAACTCAATCTGATGACTTTGCTTTTGTTTCCATCACTCTTACGTGCAGTATTGTTAATATATAATAGAACTTAAAGCTACAGTACTGTGCAGCACAATCAGCAAAAATTACGGTACTGTCATACTGAGGCTCCACAAGCAAGGTGGACAGAACTGCACCAAAAAGGGTGGGAGCTAAGTCCAAGCGGCGGGGCCTGGGCCTGAGCCGTCGAGACTCGGGTGTGTCGGTAAGGGGGACAGCTGTACTCGCCTCTCAAGCAGAGTGTAAGAGAGTGTGTGCGAGAGTGTGCGTGCGTGCGTGCGTGTGTGTGTGTGTATGAGAGAGAGAGAGAGACAGAGAGACAGAGAGAGACAGAGACAGAGGCGCCAGTGCGCACGCGCGCTAAGGTGCCGTCGAGCCGCATGCCCCGCTCTGTCACTGTCGTGACTGCCGCCGCCAAGACGGGACGCTGAGGGGTCCGGGTGGCCGTCGCGGCTCCTCGGCGGAGGCGGGCGGCTTCCACACCGGGCCGCGGCTCCCC